AGAGAGGTACGAACGAGAGAAATCTGATCGAATACACGTGACTGTCCGTTTCGATAAAGACTTTGCGAATTATATCTTCTCACAAACCACCAATTAACGTAATGCAAAGAAACGTGAAAGTAAATGCACTGCAGTATAACAAGCGACACGAGGCATTTAATATCTCATCGAAAACCCGTCAAAGGCTCATAAATTACGGTTGTAATTAAATATGCGACGCTACCGACAGTGTAAACGAAATTGATGATGAAGTCATTTGCGGCGTGCGACCACGCGGAAGAAGACTACGGCGAAGTAGCGTAAAATCTTGCGGTAAGGAAAATAGGTGCGAAAGTGAGATAACGTCTGTTGTATACTTTGTTCTTTCTCGCGCGATATTGTGTTCTCTATATATATCCGAGACTGTCTTAAGGGCATCCCTCCCCTCTTATTTGCTTTACAGCATTATCGTCTACGAAGAAGACTGCGAGCAGTATTGCAAGAAAACATGCGTGTAGCGTTGCAGTGAATAAAACATTTCTTAAGATACTTCTGAAGAAAGATAAAATTTCTATCTGAAATACACGTTGTGTGACGATTTTTTGCACTCAGAGAACCATAATAATGACAATTCTAAGGGTAACAACTATACAACTTTTACATGTAAAATGTACATAATAAAATAAATTAATACACGCAATTGAATAAATAATTATTTTATACAATAGATCAATTTACAATAGATACAATAGATTATTTTATAGTTATCGCAACTATACAATCTATTTAATTATTATAAAAAGTTTATATGTTTGTCAATTACTTTTATAGTTGCCATCGCTATGTCTTTTTCTTTGAATACGACTTTACGAAAGTATGACGCAAAGAGATACGACATAGAAGTAATAAATATGATAAAAAAATTAAATAGAACTTCGATTTTTCTCTTTATCTTCTTGTCTTATTTTTCGATTGATTTCTGGAATTCTATAAACATAAACAATAGATTTAATTTCTAACGCATTTAAAAATTAAATTCTTAATTAATTGGATCTGCACGCGACGCGTGCACCCCTTTGCAAGCAGATATCGTAAAATGTCGTGCTTTAAACGCGGCAGTGAACTTTATGAGAATGCATGCTTCATTGTAGCAGCAACAGCTGCTGCTGCTGCTGCTCTATGCTGTTGCTGCAAGCCGTGTTCTTTCTCGTGTGATGACCCGTTAGAGTAATTTCGAATTTCACTCGCACAAAATAGTGTGTCAATCCGTAAGGCGAGTTAATAAACGACGCGAAACAAAGGAAGTAGCGACTTACGAGTAGCAAACAAGTCCGGCAATAATCCTGTGATCCAATAACCGACATCTAACGACACGATTTCCCTTTTCTTTTGCCTCACTTTTTTACATTTTACTCCTCCTCGCTAGACGCACCTATTAAACGCACGCATCGAGATTGCTCCCACTTGCACTGTCGACATATATTTTTCCAGTGTCAATTTTATAACCGGCCAGTCTACAGCCATTTTTCCTGCGATTGAAAAAAAATGTTTCTTTTCTTTCTCTTTCTCGGTCTCTTCTCTCTCTCTCTCTCTCTCTCTCTCTCTCTCTCTCTCTCTCTCTCTCTCTCTATCTCTTCCTTGCAAAAATTAAAATTTGCATACGCCGTGTATTGTGCGTCAAAAGAAAGTACTTCACATTGTACGCTACTGTTTTTATATAAACTTCTTTTCTTTTTAAAATTCATTAGTTTTATTCACGATAAAAGACTTCGCTGTACATAGAGAGACAGCACTTTGTGAACAACTTATATCTCCGAGGTCTTATTAAAAGTTAATGTTTTTATCATGATAGCGAAACAATTATATGAATAATAAGGACTACTGAGTCTTATTGTCGCAATACCGTTGTATCACTGTTTCATTATGTTTCACCTCAAGCTGGCATAGAAAAAAGAATAATATCAAATTTAAATAAAGCAATACCTGTCGATAACTCTTTTTTATTTCAATGTACAATATTGTGCAAACATTCGCAAGAAGAAATGCATTAGTTATTACAACTATAATATTAATAATAATTGTACTTCTAGTTCTTTATACCAAATAGAAGTAACTATAAAATTTTTTTTTTTTTTGGAATAATTATATTCTTTTTGGTATATAGAACTATAAAAAAATTATACATAGTTATTATTAAAATAAAAATAGTTTTACGGCTCTCTCCAAGAATAAATCAAATATAAGTAAATTACCTATAATTGTTACTACTATCTAATATTACAGCAGTAATAACTATATAGAGAAACAGAGTTCTTGATACGTGTTTTATGCAATTATAATTTTACAAATATCAAAAACTTTTTCTCAATGTGTTTAATGCAAATTCCCTATTCTCATATCCTCACTTAAATTTCTTTAAAATACATGTATGTATCTTTACGCCGCGCGCCGGTGAAAATTGATGTCTCGAATGTAATATCGAATTTAATAATCATAAAGTATATGCATACGCGCCATGCATTCATCTTCTAAGTATTCTTCGAGACAATGTTATGTTACGTGACAAGACTCGTGTTGTTCAGTTGACTTTCTTCAGTGATATAATGATCATTCATTTTGTCGCGTGCCTATGACAATAATGGTATAACTCAATGTTCGATTCTGTGCTCCTAAACTCTCTGTTATTCAGATGTTGGCATTCAGTTAGAAAGTTCATTTTCTCGACAAAGAGCACTACATTAAAGTGTCGCGCATTGCACAAAAAACGTTATTAATATATATATTTCATTCGTTGAAAGGAAGAAACGATCGATTCTTTCAGAATCATAAAAATTACAGCAAATGCGATAATGTGGCTACTGTGTTGATCGGATTTATTCATACGTTATACAATTTTTATTCATTGCTTTCGCGTTATCTTTCGGTCAAATTTAATTATTTGACTGAAATATTTATATTTACCAAAAATATGAATAGAAAACAGACTAAGATGGATCTAAAAAGTCTATGTATCTTGGATGATCATCTTTTGTGCCGTCTACTATGATCGAGTAACCTACGCAAATTTTTACTTGCGCATATAATTTAAAAGTTATTAAATTATTAAATACTTACATATATATAGGGTGACCCGAAATTCGAGGATAATATTACTGCAGCATAATGCTTCTTGAAGAATTAAGTATTAATTGTTTATATCTGTGTTTATATATATAGCTAAATTTTTAGTTTAGAGTATTTTTAACTAGATATTTCAATCAAGCATATTTTTCGTATACATATATTTATTATATTTGTTTTATCTGAGAAACCTTTTAGATAAAAATAATGCAACATCATTTCACATATGGTGAAATATATGGACAGAATTAACAATTCACTTACAGAAATTTAATACTGGCCAATTTAGTACTGAAAGACGCTAATTAATTACTTATTTAGTACTAAAAGCACTGAATGAAAATGCTTCTAATACTTAAAATGTGTCATTAATTACTGCCTTTTAGTATGAAATTTTTGTGAGATAATTAATAAAGAGAAAGAAAGTAGAAATGCAGAAATTTCGGCTTGGGTTTTAAAACGTTTTCACCTGTTGCTACTAACTTTAAAGAAACGTTTATAAATACAAGTTTAAAAAAGAAAGAATCGCTTATCATATGAACAAATTACAGTATTTTATAGCTGAAACCTTTAAAAAATTAATAAGTTCATTATTTATAGTCCTTATTAATAGCTGTTCGTAACAAAAAGTATACTATTATCGAATACATTAAGCCGCACTTTAAAAAATTTAAGTATAATATCTTTTTTATCTTAATAATCTTTGTACTAAAAATGTTGCAAATTAATTAAAGTATAATCGACTTGTGAAAAATTAAAAAGAATTATAACTGAAAAACAGTGAAACAGAGACTGAACCGCGATAGAAATGTTTTATACGTCACATACATATAAAAAAAAATTAAATAGAGGAAGGAAAAAGCAAATTAAAGTATAAAATATCACTTACCATTTTAAATTGGTTGTTAAACAACTAAAACCTTTTATAAAATATTGTATCTATTTATGTTAATTTAAGGAACTGTGGAATTGTGGCATTTAAGAAACATATCAAAGTAACAGGCCGAAAAATAAACTTATCTTTAGCTCGTAGCTGTTAATTATTTACTATGAAATTTCAATGTCAGTAATTTATTATGAAACTGTAATATTGTAAAAAACGAAGTATATATATTAAACGACTAAATAATAGATTAAAAAAGAAATTAAAGGTACTAATTTTAACTGAGACATAATATAATAAACAGTTTTGTTAAAAAAACGATTAAATTTTCAAATCGTAATCTTCACTTTAAATAACCGCCATCTCGTTGAAAATTATTATTCTTAAAAAGCTACGATTGAACAATAGAATATTTAAGATTAAACTAACACCAAAATCATTTGTTTTGCCTAGAAATTAAGAAATCATATCAATCATTTTTTTAACGAGATGATTATTGAATTATATATATATATATATATATATATATCACAGCCAAAAATTAAACTTTTTAACTCTCTTTTTTTTCTATTATATAAAATGTGTATTTTTGTTTCCTACCAATTAAAATTCTATAGTGAATTACTAACAGCATAACTACAAGCTAAGAGCAAATTTATTTCTTAACCCATTATCCTGGTGTATCTCTTTAACTTTCTTTACAATCACGTCATTCCCTATCAATGTACACGACTTACTTGAACTTGTAATGTATCACTATTCGAAATAAAGTTTTTCCTTCATTAGTTTGCGATCATCAAGTGTGATGTAGTGAATAAGTAATAGTAGAATACTCCATAAGTAAAATTCAAAATTGATTACCCTACATTAAAAATTAAAGATGCAAAAAAGATTCTGAATTTTTTACTAAATAAGAAAATATGATTATAAGATAAACGCACTTATAACAGGAAGGAAGATAAGAGTATAAAAAAAGGATAATTCAGAAAAGATGTATCTCAAAAGACGGATTACTCACCTGTTGCTGTCAGATTCTGTCGGAGTGATCTTGCGATCCTGCAGGTGAGTGACAAGAGTGACACACGAGGTACGTTCTTGGACTGTTAAAAGACAGGAAATGTCCTGTCGTGTTTCTTCTTGCCAGGGAATGAAACTTTTATTCGCGGATAAGCGGTCCTTCGTTCTCATGCGACTGCGACAGTTTAACTTCCTCACTGTGAGACACCGGACGACGTCCGACGCCGAATACCGCGACCACGGTGTCTGCGCCCGGAAATGATGGCGAGAGCGTCGCGACGCCGGCCTTTATAAGTATGTGTGTGTACGCGTCGGCGCCCCTATGCATGTATGAAGACCCCCTTTCTTTCTCACCCTCCGTGAACCGTGTGCCATCCCTTCTCACGCTCACGATCGAGATGAGGCGTCGCGACGCGCGTATATGCGTAAAGACAGATTTATGCTGAGATGGGACGATGCATGACGCAACGAGCGGTTCCCACGTCGCCCAGTTATAACGGCGAATCAAATTGTTTGGCGGAGTAACAGGATGGTAATCGCGGATCGTGCCATCGTTTGCTAATTACCTGCAAGATGGAAAATGAACTTCTGCTGCGGGACACTTTGTTTAATCTTAATTTCGCGCAGCTATTCTCCAACAGAAATATAAAGGAATTGTTTCTTAAAAGGGCAGTTATAAAAAATTATCCTTTAAAAGAACTATGAGTAATTTATAATAATATTAATTATATATATATATATATATAATAATACACAAATTATTAATTTTCTCCTACATACTACAATGCCATATGACTTCACGGAAGAAAAGATTTCTGGCTACAGCTATAATTCTGATTAGCTGAAATTGCATTAGCTATACTATAGCTATAAAATTTGTTAATACATACAGAGAATTTGCTGCTATAGCTAATATAAGGACGTGATAGCAAAGTATGCATGCCTGTTACAGATCAATTTATTTAGCAACATGAAGTTAATTGTCATAGTTATCGGATATGTAGGTGTAAAAAAAAATTGTCTCTACCACAGCTAAATATGATTTGCTGAAACAGTACTTGCTACCAAATTATCTACTACACAGAAAACGTTTGCTGCAATGATCAATACATCGACATAATAGCAAAATGTTTGTCTGTTACAATGATAATTAGGTCTCACAGATAATGGAAATTAGACCTTGCAGACACGACGTTAGGTGGCCATATAATGCTACTGAATTAGCAGCTAATTTTTTTTTCCGTGTTCTTCACATAAAATTCGTATAAAATAGTATTATCGCAAAAGTTTTTACGTGTGACACATTGAATGTCTCGCTGTTCACGAGAAAACATATAACTACTCGAGTAATAAAAAGATTATTATAGGATATCATCGCGCAAGTAAGTTGACGCCTCCACGTATTATAAAGTTTCGAATAAAAGGATAAATTATATTCTTACCAGATTACGCTCGTTGCTTCGAGTATTGCAGTTTTATCATGCAAAAATCTATTTTCGCTTTCAATTTACAACTTTTTTCTGACGTACAGCATCATTTATAATTACTATAATTTATAATTACAACGTCGCATCTTCCGTAAGTGACCCATGTATGTGTGTACGCCGGATTCCTTGCTGAACGAAAGTTTCTCCCATAAACTCGCGCTGATCGTACGAAGGAGAACAACTCGGTACTAAATCCGACGGTGATGCGGTTGAGCATTACGGGTTATCCACCGTTATGCGTGTGACAAAAGATTTTCGGGATTTCCTGCTAAATCACTCGTAAACGAACGTGTGGACTCGTTTTCTGCTCGTTCGCTAGCACTCTTCATCGCGCTGCACTGTCGTAAAAGTTCTCACTTGCGAAAAGACTGAAAATGTCTTACGAGAGATGATGAAAATTCGCGCAAGCGGACTATTTGCATATTTGCTCCGATGACAAGTCGCATGAGACTGGAAACCACATCTTATTTGATAATACGCGAGAATTTCAGGTGCGAAAAGAACAGATCCTTTTAAACGTCCTTACGAGATTCCAAAGTTCTCCCTATTGGCAATTTTATCAAGAAACGATGCCCGACTCACGCTTGTTCTCGAGGTTAAAAAAATCGTTAAAAAATTGATAAAGGGCTGTTCCTTTGTTTTAATCGACACCTCACCTCTCGAAAGACCTTTGGTCTTTCCTGGGATCCTTTGATCTTGGATAGGTTCTCGCTACATATATAGTACAGTACGTGATCAACACCAAGTAAATCAAATAAAAAATATCTTTATACACCCTATATTCCTCACTCAACATTTACAACATTTACACTCTCATTAGCCCATTTCTGACGTTGTACAATTAATAATAATGGAGAATACATAAAATCGTACCTTTCTTATATATTAATTCATTCATTTGGGCGTTTCATTATATCGATCACGGAAAATGTCACGAACATTTGCTCCTATCAAAAAGTTCTAAATATAAAATTTAATTAAAGTTAGTTGATTACTAAGTCAGAAAGCATGCCTCGTGTAATTAGTTAATTTATGGAAAAGATGAGAATGACACCTAACCTAATAGATTTTTATACCAAAACCACGCATAATTATCGATGCGCAATACTTCTTTTGAAGACATCCATAATTAAATGATACGCATAAGATAACGCAAATAAAACGCATAAAAACATCTTATTTTTATCTTTTCATTTCTTAAGAATCTATAAGGTATCATTAATTTCAAATTATTACTTCAAGAATAAAGACGAATAATTCCTGCAATAAGAAATACCAAGAATAAAAAATGCCGGAAACTTAATACAATTTTAGGAACGTGTTTTTTATCTATTCGTTCTGTTCTGTTTTTTTATATAAAAATGTAAATCGCAGCGTTATTATGAGTGAGTGTGTACGGAGAGAATTTTTTCTTAAAATTTACCCAGAAAATATAGTAATTTTGGGACAACATTGTGTATTTCGAAAAATTTTATATAAATTTTTCTTATTCTCTCTCTCATTAATAAAATATAATAAAATATAAAATGAGTTTGATTAATTTTACTGAAGTGCATGGTAAAAATCTTTAAAATATTGTACCACAACTACTATATTTTCAAGGTAAAGTAAAAAAAAAAATTTTCTCCGTTTGCATTTAATTTGTTTTTTATTCGAATTTATCGAACGCATTTCATCCTACATGTGCGAAGTGTTCATATATAATACATAATATATAATATGATAAGAATAAACATTAAGGAAAAAAAATAAAAAGTTATACTTTGCTTAATTATTCTCGTAAAAGCATGAATATCGACCTGATAATATGCGATACGCGATGATAACGCGAGAACGGATGAATCGACTGCTGGTCGATTTCCACATGGATTAAACATTGGACAGTGTCATTGTGCACTAAGCGTCCCGACGACGGCCGGCATCTCAATCACGAGTGATACTGCGATATTAACCTGATTTCACTTGAAATCTTTTATCGCGACTGCCAAAGGAATCGATAACTTCTTTAATAAGGTATGGGTCGTAAATCGTCTGTCGTTTACATCGACGATTCTTTCTCGCTAAAGTCTCTCCTACGATTCTCGACTGAATATCATGTGACCGATCAATACTTGTACTCAAAGGCAACGAGGATGAAAGAGTGTATATTAGCGGTGCAACAGAATAGGAGAAGCAAAGATAAGGCGCTTGAGAATGTTGCATCTCTCTTGCGTAATTAATCCTTATGGTCATTCTTGTTAAACGACTACTTCGGAGAATTCTCACGGGTGCGGTGCCCGGAGAGAGAAATTTTTTAGCGTTTCCTCACATCGAAGGAGCTAAAAAGACGTAAATGGCACTGTTCTGCCGCCTATTCTTGTGTTGTATCCCCATGTGGATATTAATCCTTTTAACGTGACGTAAAACGGAGTTATTTTCACGTTGAACGGTGAAAACATAAATGACAAGATAAGGAGTTAACAGAAGTAATGCAGAAACTGCAGTTTCAGTAAACTTCATCATTAGCACCTTCAATTGCGCACAATAAAGGAAGTATTGCTTCCTAATTAATTGCATTACTCTCTAATTGAGAGTGATTAATGAAACGTGATATTTATCGAATATTTCATTACCGGAATATCATTTCATCAGCGATCAAAGTATGTCTACAAGATGAGCTGAAATAATTAAAAATTAATTCTAAAAAGTTTGATGTCTTCTTAGCAAACTTAACAAATTTAATTCTATGAAGTTTGATGTTTTTAAGTGAAAATTACAATTTTTTAATGAAACATGTTTTATTCATTTTTTATTAATATGAAAATATTAATATATAACAATATTGCGAAACTTGATGATAACAGATAAAACAAAATTAACAAATAATATAGTAAAGGCCAGTTTCACCAACGCCTGCAGTTACTTAATCCGCCGATTAAATTTAAGAATTGCCAACTGCTAAACTAAAAACTTATCAACTCTAACATAATTTCTTGACAATAAATCTATTACAAAATATGTAAAAATACTCGAAACGTATTTATATTTCTAATTTATTATCTGCTACTCTTTTTTCTTACGATGAATGGGTTAGAATTAATTAAGGCAAATTTTAAGTTTTGCTGTTGGCATTTTGGTGACGAAGTTAATCGATTGATCAAGTAATCGGCGTTGGTAAAACCGACCCATTAATATTCAACATCTTATCTGCTAGATAGTAATTAACTGCCTTTCGAATCTTCCTCTCAGTTTTTCTTCCAATACATTGCGAGACGCTCGAGTGATGTATAAATAAATTTTCACTGAATATATATATATATATATATATAAGAAAAATGTATCCACAATACGAGTTTTACAGATTTGCAGGAAATTCAATGCAGAGGTCAATCGGTTATTTCCGCCTAAATTAACAGTCAGTGTGACATTTCAATTATTCATGCTTGCTTAACTAAAGCTAGACATATAACAATGTAAGCTAAAGTGTATATCATATATCTCAATCGTAGGTGATTAATATAGGTAATAACAACCGCCTCCTCTAAAATAATATATATAACATTTCAATTTTACGCGATCATGCGCGCGACTTTAATGAAACTTTAAAATATACTTATGATCGACTCACCCTTATTTCACTTTAAATACATATACTAGTTTAGCTATAAAAAAAATAGACTTAAAGTATGGTACATAATGATCACGATAATTGCAAAATTACTACTCTTATCTTTCACTTCAGCGATTATGCTTATGGTCATCACCATCGCCTT